AAAGTTACGCCTGTGTCATTTGAACCCTCCTCTATATATATATATATATATATATATATATATATATATATAAATAAGTACACCTCCTTATTTAAAAAAAAAAACTTCTATAATATATATAGTTTTTTTTTTAATTTTTTTAATTTTACACCTCCAACTTTTAATTGACTACTTTTTTCACTTACCTCCTTTCTTCTCTCTTTCAGTTTTTACATGCATCATCTTGTCTTCTTCTAATTCTTCAACAATTTCAGTGTGTAGTTTTAGTTTTCTCAATTTTTATAGTACTTTCTTATTTTCTCACCTCTTTCACTTTTTCACATGCATCCAAATCATAGAAGTGGTACGTGACAACATTGTAGGTATGTGCAACTTTCTCGACAGTTTTTACCAAACTACACACACATTTTTTTCTTCTCATACTTCCTTTTCTTTCACCCCTTCAAAATCATTAACATTAAGTTTAGTGTTATGAAAAAAATATTTTCACTATTTCAGAGTACTGTACGGGATCCGGAAAGAAATTTTTGAAAATGTGTTTTTTACATAATTCCAAAAAAACTTTCCAAAATAGTAAATTTAATGTTCTAGAAAGTATTTTTTTAAAAGTTTGTAAAATAACACACTTTCAAAAAGTTAATGTTTCGAAAAGCACTTTCTGGAACAATAAAGTTAATGTTCTAGAGATTACTTTTCAAAATTATGTAAAAATACATAATTTTGGAAAGTATTTTTCAAAACAGTAAATTTAGTGTTTAAGAAAATATGTTAAAAACTCAATTTTGAAACTTTCTTTCGATAAAATTATTATTTCAAAAAGTACTTTTTGAAACACTTAAACTATTTGATATTGTGTTTTAGATATGTAAATGAAAGAAATGCTCGAAGAAAAAATGCACATTTGACTCGGTGCTTTCAAAAATGTCGAGAAAGCCACACACACCTATAATGTTATTGAAAACTAGTTCTACATTCTGGATGTGTGTGAAAACTAAAAGTGAGGAAGGAGAAGATAATAGTGAGAAAATTGAAAAAAGAGGGGAAAAGAGAGTAATGTAAAATTAAAAGAATTAAAACTACTTATCGAAATAGATGGAGTAGAGGAAAGATAAAGGAGTGCATGTGAAAATAAGGGAAGGAGATGTGTGAAAAAAATGTTAAATTAAATGTTTAAAGCGTAAAATAAAAAAGAAAAAATTATTTTTTTTTAAATTTTAATTATTATTTTTTAAAATAAAAGAAATGTACTTATAAAAGAAAAGGAGATGTCTATTTCATGAGCCCATCTCAAAACATGGGTGCAAGAAGAAAAATTCATTTTTTAATATATTAAACTGGGCTAAGTCTTACTTCAATGCTTCCTTCCAACTGACATGAAGTCATAGTGGGCTAGCCCAACTCATAAAATGAATCGTAAATTTAGCATCCAAATCAGACAAATTGGACATTGATGATTGAACTTAAAAAATGCGGACAAAGTTTGTAAAAAATAAATTAAAAAAAAAAGTTTTTCATGAGTCTGTTTCTTTTTTTTTTTTTTTTTTGCTGAGTGAGTTTTTCTTGAGTCATTGACGTCCCTTTTTGATATTTTCCTATTCCCATTTTTTGTGGACTAACCTATCCTACACTATTTCTTTAGTGTATCAACTTGTCATGTCTAACTTTAGGTGAATTGACACACTTTACCACTCTTATTAGTTTGGTTAGAAGGAATTTAAATTCCTTAAACATTTGTCTCAATATTTTACATACTATACATAAAAAAGACTACAATTCAGAGGGAACTCTGGCGCATGATATTAAAGCCATACCTAATAAATTTATAATTTATAATTTTATTTATGAAAATCAAACACGATACTAAAGAAATTATCTATATCTATGCACCATGCTAAACCAACTTATCTAGACTAGTGTTACCAATTTGATGAGGATGAAAAGATAGTATCGGAAACCAAAATAACAAAGATACGGTGGCGCACTATCTTGATTCTAAAAATGTATCTATGCTTTTTATATATTTATATCATCATTCCGGATTGTTTTATGAACTTTAAAACATTGTATGCCATTCAAAATAAGCCATGTCCATAAAGAATGCATTTGCTAGGGTCCTCCTGGATTTAATCTGTTGCACGAGTAGGTATATGGTCCTGTAAACCATCAAATCGTGGTGACTCACAAGTGACAACAACATTATCATCGATTCTGTACTCTTTGAAGCATGCTAATCTCCCCAGTTCTTCAACTTCCTCAACAACAAAGTCCAGTTTTGCCACTGTCTCCACCAGCAAAGATGCAAAGGCAGCAAAAGGCAAGGCTTCAGAAAACTCAAGGCTTGTGATTGCAATTTTACTTAGCTGGTGTCTCAACACCTTTCGTTCTGCTTCCTTTGGCTGTTCAGTGCATGCCCTTTGAGCTTCGCACTCTTGCAATGCTGAAGAGTCTGTTTTAACATTTGATAGTGAGTCATTTACTTGGTTTGTCTTCCCTGTTGTTTGTGCTGCAGCTATGGCCAGCATGTCATTGGAGCCGAAGAAGAGTCGAGGCTGAGATTTTATGGCAGTGTTGAGGTCCTGCAGGGCTCCTTGAAGATTATTGTAGAGTATTTCTTGAGAGCAATGGCAACGTTTCCTTATGCTGTTGGCAAGTTCTATCAGCACTTTTGATACCTCTGATGCAAGCCTTATACAAGGGTCCTTGAACTGGACTCGAACAGATTGTGGTGTCTGAAAGAAAATGTCAAATTTAGGACAAAAATCTTGCACAAATAATGCTGGACTATGGAAAAATTTAATGATGCATCCTGTCTTAGTAATATTTGTAAAAGGGGTAATGTAAAGTTACTAATAATGGACTGCATCAATTTTGCATTTCTATGAGTATGCGTAGTTTACCAATAATAACCAACTGTTTTGTGTTGGTGACTTTCTATTACTGTTTAGAAGTGTCATTTTTTAGAAATTTTTCTATAAATTCTTTGGACGCCTAATATTGAGCTGTGTGAAAAACAGTTTAAACTTAACCTTCAGACCCTTAATGGTAGATGTCAGACATCTGATGTCTAGCGTTAATTAATATCTTATATGTGCTATCTGGATACCGGTTAGACAAAAAAGAGAATTAGTATGCCAATTGCCAAAGTTGTGATGAGTTGCACCTTTACATAAATGATCAAATATATGTTCTTGTGCAAATGTTACCTGAATTTCTGTTTTCAAACAGCCATGTAGGGCTACCACTGTATACCCAAATTGACGAAGAACAGTTCCAACTTTAACATACTGCTGCCATGGAAATTTATGACATGAATGCCTTGGCTCCCAACTTGCATGTAATGCCTTAACAATTCAAAACAGAACCATTAGAAGATCAGGAAGCTCCTTTAAACGTGGTGTACAAAGATGGTTATACTAGATTACTAGGCAATACCAACTGATGTATATTTGTGTGACACAGGGATTTATGCAATTAGTTAATATTGATTGGCTTAGTGCACAAAATTTCTGTGTATCAGGTGTATAGAAGAATTTCTCTTGATGATCATCTTTTAATGCTAGCTTAATTAGGTTAGGGATGTCTTAAAATAAACCAAAAGCAGATGGATGGCTTACAAGTGTTTCATCAGTGGATTTTGAATCCAAAACAGCTCTGTAACCTTTGTATATATCTTCAGATGAATTTTTATCGCCAGAGGTTTCAATTTCTCCATAAAAATATTCGCTGACACAAGCTGCAAATTATTACTTTGATTAGACTAATGTTAATTTATATAGTAAAACTCAAGAAGTTTGATAATTTGCTTTACAAAAAAGCACGTGGATTTTAAACTTGTGATACTATGTTTGTGTTATGATTTTTCTTACCTTCTATAGATTTAGCTAGGCCTTCAAGCTTGGAAGATGTGGAATTATGGAGAGCTTCCCCTGACCAATTTGGAAATACCAATAGACTCATCAGAAGGCAAATGGCGCAGCCTATGGCTATGGTGTAGAAGCGCTCTTGTGTAAACTTAAAGACATTATCAATCCAGTAACTTGAAACAGCTATCAAGTTAAAGGTCAAGAGAAATATAAGGACCCCATAATCATAATTCTTCTTTATCTTGGGAAAGAACCTCGTATAACTGGCTGCAGCACCTGCCAGATCAAAATGACAACACCCTAAATTTAGATCAAATTCAAAGTTTTTTCTTTGTTACAGTTTAGCTACAAAGACTTAAACATGTACCAATTATGAAAATAGTAGTTCCAATGAAAAAAGCTTCAAAGATGCGGCTACATCTTCTTGCAACATATTTAACAAGAAACGCAAGTAATCCTGCTGACAGTGTTCCCAATCCTCTGTTGAACCCTTTGCATAAAGTTGCCCCTGCAATCAAAAGAATGTTAGAAATTGATGTCATTTATACCAGGTGTCTATAAGCATGTTTGTATAAACTTTTTCGAAAACACTTACTGAAGAAGAGAACAAGTATATCCAAAAACTAAAATTAACTTGGACTAAAATTAATTTGCAGAAATTTTTTCTTATTAGTTTCTCCGGTGAGTGTATATATATATATTTTAAATTTATGTATAAGTTAATTATAATTTATGAAGAAACTTATTTCATTTTTTCATTTTATTTTCTTTCTCTAAGAATGCTTTCAGAAAAGTTTATCCAAAATTGTGAGCCAGTTTTCAAGTAGAGGAACGAGGGACAACACTGACAACAGGTGACTGCATGCAGTCCCTGTATTACTATGCAGAATTTAGTTGAAAAGAAGCACTTATATACAAGTCTACAAGTAGATACGTAAAATTTAGTTAAAAGGTGAATATGTATAAGTTAGTTTTATAAAAGAAAATTGATTTATTTACTTTTAGAAAATCATGTCTAGGTGATAGCACAAAATAGAAACAACGAATTTTGAGGTAAACTGACCTACGGTGAACTCGAATACTACCACAACAGTCATGACAGCCCAGATAATATTCTCTCCAATTCCTTTGAAGCTTGGCTCCAACAGATAGAGCAAAGACACAAGAGTGAGAGAAAAACCCACTTTGAATGCATGGATGATCCTTTTTGGGTCCTCACGCCCCATCTTCCACATACTCTCCCAACCCAAACTAGGAAACCTCCTCACCTTGTCACAATAAACACTCACACATTTCCTCCAATTCCCTTTCCCACTCATTGTTCTTCCACTCTCATTACCAACCTTTGTCGTTTCCGGGCCTGCATGGACTTTAGAAGTCATTTCTCAAAGAAAATTTAAGATGGCAATCCAAATGCAAGAAGATGGTTAATAAATTGGTGTTTGCTATTTCAACACAAAAGCATGTGGCCACAAAAGAGAAGATATTAAAAAAAATAAAAAAAACTAGAAAGGAAATGATATACTTTCTGAGATAGACTGGGGATTCTATATGTATGTTAATGAATGATGAGTGTCCCCCCAGAGCTATCCGTGAAGTGTGGACTTTATATGGTGTGCTTTAGGGGGAAGTTGCTGATGTCATTTCTACACTCACATGCCATGCATTAAAGTGGACTTTAGAGTTGAGTCTTAATTAGAAATCAGCAAGTGGAACAGCCAAATATACTAGCTAGCGTTGATATCAGCAAGTGGTCACGGCCTCATTATACTAGCTAGTGCTAGTACTAGTGACTTTCTTCTACAACACACCATTTTCCAATGCAGACAACTTATGCTGTAGTAGCTTCATCATTTCTAATTTGCTACATTCCCATGTATTTGAATGACATTTGGAACTTTGTTCATAAAACATGTCAAAGACACAAATTGTATGTTGTTACTAAAGAAAAACTGTAAGCTAGCTGTTATTTAATAGTCTTCTCATGGTATATGTTGTCTAATAAAAATAGTGTTGGGATACAAACAAGTCTCACATCGATAAAATATGATAAAAAATAACAACTTATATAATACAAACATAGAGGAGAATTTGTTGGGGTTATTTTTATGATACTTGTCTGAGAAGATATTTTATAAATATTATTTTTATAAGGTTATTACACAAACATACTCCACAATGATGAGATATTGTTCGCTTTGGGCCTTAGCCCTCACGGTTTTGCTTTTGGTCATTACCCAAAATGCCTCTCCATCATTAAAGTATGTTTGTGTTATATAAGTTATTATTTTTTATTTTATTTTATCGATATGGGAAGTATCATAAAAATAACCCCAACAGTGGTATCAGAGCCGCAGGTTGGATTCGGTGGCAACCAATAAAAAAATGATAATGATAATGTAATATATAAATACAGATTCCGCTGCATGAAAGGTTAGGTCCCTTGTTTGAGGGGAGTATTGTTGGGATACAAACAAGTCCCACATCGATAAAATATGATAAAAAATAATAACTTATATAGCATAAACATACTTCAATGATTGAGAGGCCTTTTGGGTGATAACCAAGAGCAAAACCGTGAGGGCTTAGGCCCACATTGAACAATATCTCGTCATTGTAGAGTATGTTTGTGCAGGGACGGAGCCAGGATTTCAATACTGGGGGGCCGAGAATTGGAATGATCAAATGAGGCGCTACATTTTTTAAAAAAAAAAAAAATTCCAAAGTGATACCACATAGCAGGCCGTACCAGAAGTCCAAAAGTTGAATAAAAAAATAAATTTGGGTTATTCATTTAATTATACATATGAGTTTATATTAAAAATAGGGGGTGCCATATAGTAATATATATGTATATAAAAAAAATTAAAATTGTTGGGGGGGCCGTGGCACCCGTAGGTCCCCCTTTGGCTCCGTCCTTGTGTTTGTGTAATAACCTTATAAAAAATAATACTCATAAAATATCTCCTCAGACAAGTATCATAAAAATAACCCCAACAAATAGAACTGTAATTATATCTATTCTTGGTATACAATCGATCGGTTGTTTATTAAACTAACAAAGATATGATTGTCTTATATAACATTTTATCATATTTTGCATGATCAAGAGTATTTTTATATTATTTATATAATTAATATAATATAATATATAAAATAATATAATATAATATATCCAAAATAACAAAATATATATAATATTACATATTTATTATATAGTTTATAAATACATATTATAAATCTAGGTATAATTATAATAATTTGGACATATAAATTTAAAGTATATTATTAATTAAAATA